TCAGACCCACCCTCTGAGTCCCCGCCCGTGACTGAGAACTGCGGCCCCGCCCCCCGTGCCACTCCCTGTCTCCCCCCTCAGCTCCTCACCCCCTCCCGGAGGCCCGCACGGCCCGGCCCCGCGCTTGAGGCCCCACCGCCGCCACCCCAGCGGGCGGGCACGCGCACCTGTCGAGCACGAGCTCCTCCAGGCGGTGCAGGTCGCAGGCCACGTACTCGAGGGCCATGTCGGTGATGCGCGGGCACCATGAGAGGTCGAGGCTGCGCAGTTTGCGCAGATTCTCGGCCACGAGCTCCACGCCGTCGTCGGTGACCTTGGAGCAGCCCGAGAGGCTGAGCGCCGTGAGGTTGGGCAGGCTGTGCACCACGTTGACCACGCCATGGTTGGTGATCTCCCAGCAGGACAGTAGGCGCAGTGTGTGCGTGCTGTGGCCCTGGCGAGCCGTGAAGTAGGCCAGCGCTGTATCTGTCACGTGGTAGGCCTGCAGGCTCAGCTCGGCCAGGTTGGGCAGCAGCTGCGAGATGGCCGCGATGGCGTCGTCTGCCACGTTGATGCAGTCGCTCACGCTCAGTGAAGTGATGCGGGCACTCAGGCTGGACCACAGCCCGGCCTCGGTGAAGTCGTTGCAGCCCGACAGCTCCAGCCGTACCACGCCCTGCATCTGCTCCAGCATGACCTGTGGGCAGCCCAGGTCAGGGCACCCCCCTCAGCTCTGCCCGCCACCGGTGTGCCCCTCCCCTGCCACAGCCAGGACAGCAGGGGACGGATGGGGCTGGCGTTGGGTGTGGGGGAGGTGGGGGGGAATGCAGTGGTCTCCTGCCGGCGGGAACTCAGGGCTGGGCTCTGAGCATCCTTGACCCTGTGCTAGGAGGTGGGGAACACCTGGAGCTCAGGGCCAGCCAGAGCCTGTGCTGGGCCGCTGGCAAGAGTCCGGGTCCTGGGGATGGGCCCCTCTGCCCGGCTGCTTCTCTGACTTTCCCCCTGGGGCCTTTTCCCCAGTGGCTCCGGCCTGCTCACCCTCTCAGGCTCCCCCCACATCCTCCCCACTGGAAGCCAGCTTCATAGGCCCCCTTGCCTACATTTAATTGTCTGCTCTGCAGTCACCATCCTGAAATTCTATTTTTTTGAGTTGGAGTCTCACTCTGTTGCCCAGGCTGGACTGCAGCAGCATGATCCCAGCTCACTGCAGCCTCTATTGGGCTCAGGTTGCCGGACTACAGGTGTGCACCACCATGCCTGGCTAAGTTTTTAAGTTTCTTTTGTAGAGATGAGGTCTCGTTATGTTGCCCAGACTGATCTGAAACCCCTGGGCTCAAGCAATCCTCCTGTCACAGCCCCAAAGTGCTGGGATGACTGGCGTGAGCCACCACGCCCAACCTGGCCTGAAATTCTTAGTCATCTTTGAAGAAGGAACCCGTATTTTTCTTTGCACTGGGAAGTTAGTCATGAGCTCCCCAACCTCAAAGCCACTGTCCTCAGGCACCGTGTGCCTCGGCGGCCTCCACTTTCTCCCCCCACAAGGGTGCTGCGGCCTGGCCCCATCCCCGCCTCACCCCTCCCGGCCAGCCTGGGGACACACCTCAAGGCCGGCATCAGTGATGGTGGAGCGCTTGAGGCTCATGGCCTTGACACCCTTCTTGGAGAGCGCGTAGTTGTCGATGAACTCACAGATGTCCAGGTCGGACACGCCTACCAGGCAGAAGCCCTCGAAGCCTCGTGCGGCAAAGCCCTGTAGGTTCACGAACTCCTTCTCGCCACCAGGCAGCACGTTGTAGAGCTCCTTAGCATGCAGCATGGGTGTGAGGCCTGCCCAGAACTTGGGCTGGTAGAGCACACGCCGCCAGGCCTTGCACACCTGGGCCAGCACACACTTCTCGCAAGCCGAGAAGTACCAGAACAGGCCATTGAGGATCTTCTCGTCCGTGGCCAGGGGCGGCCGCTCGGTAGGGGACCCGGGCA